GGGATAGTGTCCAAATTGTGCAACAAAAATGTTGATTTCAACCATTTTTGTTCAATCACTAAGAGCAATGAACAAAGAGAAAATTACAGCCTAAGAGTGACTGAGGTCAGATACTGAGGAGGTCATATAGGGATGTAGGGTTTGAGTGCTCCCTTCACACAGCTAAGAAATGGCACTGGGTGACCACATGGTACATGTCAAGGAAATAAAGACTTGGAACTCTCTCCCTAAGTCCCCATTCACCATTGAATGTTCACATTGACTCTAGTCAAAATAGCATTTGGAATAAAATTTTAATTCGGAATAATTCTAAATGATTTGCTCGAGCGGGCCCAGTAACGTCTCCATTGGAGACTTTGTTGTTAGCATTTAAATATATTTCAAATAAAATTATTATCTCATTCCTACTTTGTACAAACTGGCAGGCTACTGAATGTAGCCTGCCCACACGGCAGAGTCTGGCAAACTCCCTGTGGCGTACCCAATATGCCAAATACCAGTAACTATGGTAAAGGTAAAAGGTAAAGGCCCTCCCATTGATCGTCGATTTGCTCGAGCGGGCCCAGTAACGTCTCCATTGGAGACTTTGTTGTTACTGTGTCTGACATATGGAATACGTCACGGGGAGCTTGCCAGGCTCTGCCGTGCGGGCGAGATACTCCCGGTAGCTTGCCAGGCTCTCCGAGAGGGTCGGAGGAATCGAATCATTCTCCTAAAGAGCCTTGAATATAATCTCAGGGCTAGGATGAAGGAGACGTTACTGGGGCCTGCTTGAGGCAATCGACGATTAACAGGATGATTTGTGATTGTGATTGTGATATATTTCAAAATATAGCACTGTAGCACTGTCCTCCCGTTGCTCATTGATTTGCTTGAGCAGGCTCCAGTATCATCTCACAACAAATTGTGAGACTTGTTACTGTTTTTGACATATCTAATACATCGTGGGGAGTTTACCAGGCTTTGCCTTGCAGGCAAGATACTCTCGGTAGCTTGCCGAGCTCTCCGAGAGGGGCGGAAGAATCGAACCCGGGTCAGCCCACATGAAAGACAAACGCCTTACCTGCTGTGCTATAGCTCCAGCCCATGAAAATATAAAGGACAAAATAATTATGAAAGTTTATTATACTATAAAATGTTGAATGGGGCTGCAGAGATAGCACAGAGACCAAGGCAATTACTTTATGTGGCCCACCTCCTGGGTTCAATTTCCTGCACCAAAATGTTCTCCTGGGCACTGCCATGAATGATCCCTGAGCACAAAGCTAGGAGTAAGCACTGAGCACTGCCAAGTGTGGCGCAAAACATACAACACACACATACACACACACACACACACGCACACACACACACAGGAGCTTCTCTTGTTGTGACTGGAAAGATATCTGGGTATAGATACCTTTAGGTAACTCTTATATTCTTAAAATCAGCAATGATGCAGGAGAAATGGAATGCTTCCACTGAACAAAACTCTGAACAAGAAACTTCCTGTATAGAATTAGTGTTGTAATCCACCTACCCGCACCTGCATCCTGCCCCTCGAAGCTTATTTTATGTGTAATTGTTTATATAACCACTGGGGCTTTAATAAGTACCATAGGAGGAAAATAAAACTAACCTTAACAGATTAAAAAAGCAAATTAATACCAACTAAACTGCAAGGAAAGTTCAGTGTTTGGGGAAGGATATAAAGCAAACAAAAGTAACTAATATATGCTTATTCCAAACAAAATGTAGTTTGCCCTTCAATAATTTGACATTGTAATTGCTTCTCCTAAATCACTGCTGTTAGAAAACTAGAATACACTGAATCTCCTTTTTTGATCTTCTATGACTGAGCTATTTTTCTCCTGAGGTCGAGTTGACCTAGGTCAGTTATGAAGGACCCTGAGGCTTCCAGAGATAATGGCCAATGAAAAGATGATCGACTTTTGTCTTCACACATACCAAAGAGAAGACATTCATTTTACAGTTTGACTAATAAATAATCTAAAGTTCTAATGAGCTAATAATCTAAAGTTCTAAACTTCTAATACAGGAAGTTTCTTGTTCAGAGTTTTGTTCAGTGGAAGCATTCCAATTCTCCTGCATCATTGCTGATTTTAAGAATATAAGAGTTACCGGGACTGGAGAGATAGCACAGCGGGTAGGGCATTTGCTCTGCACGCAGCCAACTTGGGTTCGGTTCTCAGCATCCCATATGGTCCCCTGAGCACCGCCAGGAGTAACTCCTGAGTGCAGAGGCAGGAATAACCCTGTGCTTCGCCGTGTGTGACCCAAAAAGAAAAAAAAAAGAATATAAGGGTTACCTAAAGGTATCTACACCCAGATACCTTTCCAGTCACAATAAGAGAAGCTAGCTATGTAAACTGCTCTTGTGATCTTTGACCACATAATGTGAAATTACCCATAATGGAGACACACGGACCAGCATAAAGATCCAGTTCTGTCGCTAGGATGTTTTCCCCTCCCATATAACGTCTTGTTTAGCAGTGCCTTCAGGTATGTGACTGAAGATCTCCTTAGAGGCCAATACTCCAAGGTAGACCAGAAAGCATACCCAACTCTATTTCTTATTGACCAGCTACAGGAAAGTCCTGACCATTGGACCCTGAAGCACGATGTACTATATTAATCTTCAGGAACAATTAGGTGTAATCAGAGAACAGGCTTAAATGCTTTTCTTCAGCACCTTGAATATGGCTTTATTTGTCAAAAGGGTTGCTGCATGTGCTAAAAGGCTAATTAGGTTATGTGAGGTCAGACTGGAGGAGACAGTTTCCTAATACTGTATTAAAAAAAAAGATCCTTATGAAAAAGTGGAATTGTCTCTGGGATCAGGTAAAGGCAAAGATGTTCATTGTCTCCACTTTTATTCAATAGATTAGAAGCAATAATACAGAAAAAATAAATTAAAAGGATCCAAACTGGAAATAAGAAGTTAAAGTATCACTATGGGCTGGAACGATAGCACAGAGGTGGGGCATTTGCCTTGCACGCAGCCAATATGGCTGACCCGAGTTCGTTTCCTCTGCCCCTCTCGGAGAGCCCAGCAAGCTACCGAGAGTATCCCACCTTCACGGCAGAGCCTGGCAAGCTCCCCATGATGTATTCGATATGCCAAACACAGTAACAACAAAAGTCTCCAATGGAGACGTTACTGGGCCCGCTGGAGCAAATCGATGAACAACGGGAGGACAGTGACAGTGTGAAAGTATCACTATGTGCAGATGACATAATAATGTAGATGGAAAACCTTAGAATCCACAGGAAAACAAAGCATACCTTTGTCAGGTTCACTTAGAATCTAGTATCATATATGAGAAATAGTAAATATTGTATTCCTTATTCATTCAACAAATTCTTTATTCATTCAACAAATACTTATAAATACCTCCTGTATGTCAGGCACTATTCTAGATGCTAGGAATATATTAGTGAACACATTTTAAAATAATAATAAAATATTTTTAAAAGATTCACCACTCACTCTGGTGAATGTGAGATACTAATTTAAGTGATAAAAGAAATTATTAAAACATCAGAGAGACACTACAGGAGTTAGGATACTTGCCTGCATACAGCAGCCCTGGATCAGTCTGGAGCTATATATAATCTACTAAGCACTGTCAAAAGAACCCCTGCACACTGAGACAGAAGTAAGCCCTGACCACCATCTGGACTGTCTCAAATATATCTACACTCAAAAAATTACAATTAAGTAAATCTGTCACATGTTACAAGAAAGTAAATAGTAAAAAAGAAAACTAAGGTAAAAAAAATGTGATGTAGGATTTTCTATTTTAAATAAGGCTTTTAAATAATTATCATAAAATTAAATTTTTAAAAAAATAAACATTATATATTTGCAGATTAAAAATCATTAAAATTTTGAGCCAGAGAAATAGCTCAAAGGAGTCAAGTGAATACTTTGCATGCAGGGGCCCTGACTCTATCCTTACTAATGCTTGTCCCCTTGAGCACCAGATAAACACAGAATCAGGACTAAGTCCGGAGAGCAATTCAAAATATAACCACTTTCTCCAAAACAAATACAAACAAAAATTTATAAAACTGTCTAAACAACTCAAGGTTTTGACCTTACAACTTTTGTGTGATCATATTTATACCTGAAAAATCTCTAATTCTAAAACTCTTTCTATGAATATAGACACGTCTTCCTCAACATTTATCTTATTTTGAGAAAAAAGGAAATATTCAGGATATAAAAATTTTGCAAAATGGAATACAAGGTCAATTACTGAATTTTTCTTTGAAAAAGAACTTTCAGCAGAAAAAATTATGCTGAGTGAAGACTTTAAAATAAGAAACTATGTAAACAATATTTCAGATATTTTCTAGAGAAAATTATACTTTTGCATGTTTATTTTAATCTATAAATATTACAAATAATTATTAATTATTTTTAATTATTGTTACTATAAACAATATGTACTTCATTAAAACATATTTCTATTGAACATTTGCATGACATTAACACAAGTTCATTTTCATGCAGTTAAAACAGGCTTGCAATGTAATTTAGATACAAATCCACAAAGATGTGAATTAACACTGATGATCAACATCAAAGAAAAATGCCCAGTCTACATATTGTACCAATTCTACTTATTTTCATAGGACAGCTTTTTGTTTGGAGATCAGTCTGTTTATACATTAAAGACTTTTAAGACTTGTGCTTCAACTAAAGGATTTACTGTTTTATTTTCTACAACAGATACCCCAAACACCAATAATATCTTAAATCCAACTTATTGTCTGTTTTTGTTGTTGTTCAGTTTCATTTTTCTAAATCGCCCTTTTGGGCAAGATGTTGTAGTACTGACTTTTCACTCTGTAATGAATCTGCTACTTTGATCTTTAGGGCAGGTTCCAATTTACAATAATCTTATATCCCCTTCCACAGGCATTTGTACTGAGGGGCAGCCCTGATCTCTCCTACCTCATCAAGACCTTTTGAGAAACCCAGCAACACTCACCTGGTGCCTGAGTCTGCAGAGCCAATTCTTCCAGAGCAGAGCTCTGAATTGCTTCCCAGTCTGCCCCATGCCTGACAGAGCTGCTTGGTCAGTAAATCAGCTGAAAGCACCCATTTATACCCACAGGTTCAGATGAGAGAGACATGCACGGAGCCTATTAGTCAATCCCAACAAAAGTGAGTGATGCAAGAGATTACTGGTGGTTCAATAATACAGGCATCAAATGTCCTTCTTGCTCTATATTTGTTGAGAAAACTTTCCTTTTTCGTAGCTGTTCAGTATTAGGGAATGTTAGGAAAGATCTGATTTATAGATTTCAGAGCATGAACCAAGAGCACACACCACTGACGAGTGCAGCTAGCTAGGAGTCATGCTCACATGACCAAACCCCTTTCTCCTTGATGCTAATTGGATAGAATTATTCTTCCTATTCCTGAACTATAGATATTATACCGAGTTAACCAAACAGGTTGTGGTTTTGGAAGGCTTACGGCAGAGAATTGGAGGGAACTAAAGGGAGAAAAGTTTATCACTGAAGAGAGAATGAAAGAAGTGGCTTAAGGTTAGTCATACCCTCCTATTATTCCTCACTTCCAATGAATCCACACTTCAGTAAGCAGGGGAAGTGCAATAGCAGAGATGAGATTCTTGTCCACCTTTACTTAGAGTCTGTGAGCAAATACAACATGGCATGAGTAAGAATACATCTAGCATCAATCATGTGTTGCTGATACCCCAATAGAAGACAAGGCTCCCGATGCTCATCGGCACTCCAGCCCTTCACCCTGGGTGATAGGTACCAGCAGTCAGTCTGTGGACTACCTCCGAGCCCTAGTGGATTCTTGCACACTTTAGTCTTTTTAACCAGTGGCGGGATTCAACTGTGCAGGGTTGCTTCACCATCTTGGAAGCTAAAGTTTCTGTGTTCCTGTTACCCCTACCTGTGGTCAGAGAAACAGCAAGCAGGCAAATGGACTCTGTGGTCTTCCATTTCATAAAACAATTTTCACAAGCTGTGAATGTTATGCCAGTGGATTTTGAAACAGGAAACAGCCTCTTGAGAGGAATTCATCTTTAGAGGAACTCACTCAATTATTCTATCAATCTAGATTTTAAAAGAACATCAGATTATTTTGCCTTTTTTTATTGTTCATTTCGTCTTTGGTACCACTAAAGTAAAGGCACACCTTCGTATGTGAGTCCAGAACAACAGTGACTCCTATGTGATGTTTATGCACCTCAAAATTCTGTAGGAATTATCTGTTGGCTGCCTTGGTTTCTTTTGCCATTGACCCTTACCGCACTTTATATAACAGGGACAATATTATTTTTTTCCTTTTTATTTATGTAGGGGTAATTGCTATTTATTCAGCCACTGATTAAGTTGATTGAATTGGGCATGAACTCTACCTTACTTTTTTTTCTTTTTTATAATTTTATTTATTGAATCACTGTGAGAGCAATTATAAAGCTTTCGGGTTTAAGTCTCGGTCAAACAATGATGAAACAGCCGTCCCTTCACCAGTCCACATTTTACACCACCAACCCCCCCCCATCTCACACCCTCCCCCTACCTGTGTAGCAGATGATTTCCATATCACTCTCTCTCCTCTTTGATTACATTCAATATTTCGACACCAGACCCACCATTATTATTTGGGATTTTACCCCAACACTCAGATCTGCTGACAAGGCAATAGTAGACAATTTGTTTGCTATTGCTGGTTATGAATAACATATGATGTCACACAGCTGCAGTAGTGGCCACACAATTTTGGAATTCTGAAATTTTAACAATTAAATCTGGAAGAATTTCTCCCAAAACCTGCTGGGTTCCGAGATTTGTTCCTGAGTCTCTTGGATCATGGCCGTTAAGCAGCTTGATCAGGAGCCAGAGAGGCCATTCATGGGCAGAGACTCGGGGTCTTGTTGGGGTGGAGAGGAAAGGGCCGGCTCCACCTCCATCCCTTGAGGCCCGTGTGTCTCGTCACTGCAGGCCCAAACCTGACCATCAAGAGGCCTCTGGAGAATGGCAGTCACCGAGCCCCCAGGGGGAACAGGCCAAGGCATGAAACCTATTCCCACCTGGGGTGGCCCTGTGCTGGTAACCTACTGCAGGGACCAGACACATTTCTGCCAAAAGCCGCTGGGTTTGAGATTTATTTCTGAGTTTCTGGGATCATAGCCGTTAAACAGCTTGATCAGGAGCCAGAGAGGCTATTCGTGGGTGGTGACTCAGGGTCTTGTTGGGGCGGGGAGGAAAGGGCTGGCTCCACCCTCATCCCTTGAGGTCCTTAGTGTCTCGTCACTGTGGGCCAAAACCTGACTGTCCAATGGCCTCTGGAAGATGGCGTCCACCAAGCTGCCAAGGGGGAGCAAAGGCGGAAGGACAACACCCTTTCCCCCTGGGGTGGTACGGCACCAGTAACTCATTGCAAGGACCAGATGCATCTCTGCCAAAAGGCGCTGGGTTCCAAGATTTATTTCTGAGTCTCTGGGATCATGACCATTAAGCAGTTCAATCAGGAACAAGAGAGGCCTTGCCTCCAATTATATAGCTGAGTCAGAGGTGGATTGTGAGTGTGTCTCCCACATACCTAACTTTTGGCTCTTTGTTTTCTTGGTAAACTTTGCCCCAAGTTTTTGGGGGCTTGCAAAAGGCACAGCAGCAATTTTGGGGTATCTGGAAGTCTGAAGGCGCCATCAGGCTGCTGATGCACTCGCCTCACAGGTACAGATTGACCTGCTTGCGACACCATACCCCCAAGCAAAATTATTATTTTTAAAATATCAGCATAGAGAAGAGTCCAACCATTGTTATCTTACCATTTTATTTGCATATCAACGTTTTTTTGTACATATGGATTGCTTCCAAGAAACAATGTCATAGATATAGTATTCACAATATGGGGTTGCCACTTAGATGATTAGTTTAATGTGTTTATTAATCAAATGGAAGTTACTCAATGAAAACTTCTGACCTATATAAAGGAGAGAAATTTTAATCATGCTACAATAGGGATGAATACAGTGAACACTAATGATTAAAAAGAAAAACAGAAAGACCACACATGTAAGATTCTATTCCTATGGAAATAGCCACAATGATTAAATCTACGGAGAAAGAAAACAGATATGTGGATATTTCAGGTAAACTGAAATTTCAAAGTGGGTTCTTTGGAAATGAAGGAAATATTTCAGAACTTAGTTGTAGTACATTAGGAATGTACTGCATGTTTACTTTTAAATAGTTTTATCTTACATAAATTTAATGTCAGTAAATTATTTTCTAAGCAATTACTGCCCCCTCTTCATCTCTTCTCTATCTTTTAGTTAAGCTCACAGTAGCCCAAGCATCTAATGCAAATTATGATTCTGCATTTTGGAAACTTGCTATTCTCACTTCATTTATTCTTCCTGTTGCTGTGGATGCTTTAAACATTACCACATTATCATCTCCATGGAAACTGAAAAATGATTGCTAAAATTGAATTGAAGAGCCAGAACTAATCTATTCTCCCCATTGATTCACCAGTTAATCTTATATGCTCAGAATTGATAAATAGAAATAATCTATCTAGTGCTTAATAGTCTTTTAAGTACTAGATTCTTTCCTAGTCATGCCACCACCAAACATGCGTGCTGCATGCACTTACAAACACACAACATATATGTGCCTTGCCAGAATACCACAACACACAACCCACCACACAAGTATATACCTCATATGTAGCCTCACACACATAAATTGATACCACCATGCATTTATACACCCAACCATATAAACACATAAACATCACAAATAAACACATAAACACATATACATCAAGATACATACCACCCACAATATGAAATCCACACACATTCCACATACAAATACTCTACCACATAAACACACTAGTACATAAACACACAAGTCACATCTATGGCACACACCCATACTACCACATGTATGTACTCCACCAAACACACAAACATCTACCACACACAGACATATATAATCTCACGAACTGTAAGCACATACCACATACTCGTATCACACTCATCCAGGAATGTTAGTGTCCTGTTTTTTTTTCAACTTTTTTGCTTTTGGGGTCACACCCAGCATTGCACAGGGGTTACTTCTGGCTCATGCACTCAGGAATTACTACTAGTAGTGCTTGGAGTATCATATGGGATGCTGGGAATTGAACTTGGGTCTGCTGTATGAGAGGCAAATGGCCCTACCCACTGTGCTATCACTCCAGCCCCCAGTCAGCTTCTGTTTTAAACTAATCTCTAACTTTCCTTTCTTTGATATTCCAAAGACCCTTAATAAAGTCACAGATTATATATACGTGTATATATGTGTGTATATATATAATTATAATAATAATTGGATTGGTTGGAGATGTAAGAAATACAGAATAAGTCCATAGATATGCAGGAGTGAAGTATCTGATCCCATGAGGTAGTTATTCTCCTGTATGGCACTCTCTTTCAGAAAGTGGCGTGGTTGCTATGTGATGGGTATATCACAAATACTCCTCAGGTTCATTCTACATTTGTCACAGGAGGAGAGTAGCATTTGGCATTTCCAAGTCAAAACTTTTTGAGTTAAGGGAGTATTCTCTGAAAAATATAGAAGATATTGTATCCTAGAATATCTCTGTGCTGTGATTACAAAATGGTCATTTTTATGTAAGTGATGAGTAGAGTTCTTTTTTAATTTTTTTAATTGAATCACCATGAAGTACAGTTACAAAGATTTCATGATTATGTTTCAGTCATACAATGATCGAACACCCATCGCTCCACAAGTATAGCTTTCCCACCACAAATGTTACCAGTATCCCTTCCACTGCCCCAACACCACTCCACCTCTTGCCTCTATGGTAGACAGTTTCCTTCTTACACAGTAGAGTTATTTTTTTTAATTTTTTTTATTAGTGAAACACCATGAGGTACAGTTATAGAGTTATAAATTTTTGTGCTTGGGTTTCAGTTATACAATGATCAAGTACCCATCCCTCCACCAGTGCCCATCCTCCACCACCACAGGTCCCAGCATCCCTCCCACCCCTCATCCC